TTTTTTTCGGAATTGTCATAACTGGAGTTGGTTGAGGGTGAGTTTTGTTTGTGTATTTTGTTGTCCAATTGCCATAACTGGAGTTTTGTGAGGGTGGCTGTTTTTTCTTCCGGAATTGCCATAACTTGCGATTTGTGAGGGTGACTTGTTTTTTGGAGTTGGTACCCCTTGTTAGGTTTTAAAGGGACACCACCAGCAGCAACGCCTTTTTGCGGGGGGGGGGGGGGGAAGGGGGGGGGAAGGGAGGGGGAAGGAGGGGGAAGGGAGGGGGAAGGGAGGGGGAAGGGAGGGGGGGGAAGGGGGGGGGGAAGGGGGGGGCATGTATATTGTTGGAAAACTGAAGCCGATTTTGCAGGGTTCCACATGGATGTTGCTTTCGCGTGAGCGCACCTTGTTTAAGGTGGCTTTGACACGACCTGCACAAAAATCTTGGGAAACCCAGACTCCAGCAGAGCCCTGGTCAGGTACGCAGCAAAAAAGGGCATAAATCCGATGAAGGTTTGTTGATGCCCAGCAATGGGAGGTCCAATTGACATGAACCTTTCTGTTTGAGCGGGAGAGGTGGGTAATACATGCTTGGTGGACGTCCGGGTCCATCTGTGGCCGTGGTTGCCAAGAATAAAACCCAACAACAAATGGCTTGGTTTGGTAAATTGCTTGCCCCTTGGACGACCTCCTCTCGGTTTTTTTTCCTTTGACCCACCCGAACTTTTCAGGTGAACCTCGACTGGCTGGTCACAAAAATCCGGCCCGGTGCTCAGCTGAGCTCCTGAGCTCCTGAGCCTTCAGCCAAGTGGATCTATTCGACTGGGTAGCGATCTCAATCAGCTAGGTGCTTTACGTGGCAAGGTCCCCCAGCAATTGGTGCCCGTTCTCACCGTTTCTTTTTTGGTTGGGAGGGTTGCCCTAAAATACACTACAGGAAAAAAGTTGGTACCCTTATTCTAGCCTCTCTACTGGAGGACCTAGTTGGGTTTTTCTTGAAGGCGATTGTTGGTCAATTCGAGCTCACCCCCGACCCTCCAACTCAACCCTCCTGCCCCCCTCTGACCCGCCAACCCTCCACCCCTCTCTGACCCGCCAACCCTCAAACCCTCCAAGCAGTATTGTAGTGTTTGCAGAGTGTTGAAATGTCCCTCCTAGTTTTCAGGGGGTTCATGCTGATTGCCGCGATGCCACCGGACAGGCGTAATTTCAGGCGCGCCAAGAGTCCCTTCACAAGAAGATTTGCAGGGGATTCTCAAAATGGCTTCCATTTGCTTAAAATTATGTTTGTTTCTTGTGTTTGTTGATGTTGAAGGGAATCGATCACTATTGGAAATCGATTTTTCCAATTCTCAAGATTATGTTTGGGACTTTCGGGGTGGGGCTTTGAGCACTGCGAGGCTCGCGCGTGCGTCGAGCGATTTTATGACGAGTGGCCGGAGGTTTCACTAGGTGTGTTTGTGTGTTGCGTGTCGTTATACATCCACTTGCCTTGTGTGTGTGTGTGTGTGTCTTTATGACGGCCCAGAAGATTGCGTGTGTGTGTGTGTGTGTCTTTATGACGGCCCAGAAAAGGTTGGGCATACTCACATGACCGAAGAGTGCCCACTTCCTTCCATTGTCCTAAGACTTTTGTTCTTTTTCATTGTTGGTTTTAAAGTGGGAATCTATCACTGAACATACTTGTTTTTCCCAGGGGGTGCGAAAGCAAATGGACCCATACTGTACGGCTGTAACGGGATCTTTGGACTTTAACTGTAACTGTCGGACTTTCCGATCTGGACCCACAAGTTGAAGCACTTTCTGCAGCTCACCAAACCGTGTTTCTTGGTGGGCGGCTTTAGGCTGGCTAATGAAAAAGGCCCTCATGTGGAAGGCTTGACAAATCCCCACAACCGACGGGTGGCGAGTTCATGGACTTTATACTTTTTGGGAACTAGGTCCCCCAGCTCAACTTGGTTGCTGGTGCAGTTGTCCCTTTTGGCAAAGGGAATCTTGTTTATGCTGGGCATGTTTGTCGCCAAACCATGATCGTAAAAAGAGCCTCCCCGCCTACCCCAAAGCAATGGATGTCCTTAGTATGCCCTTTGTCAGGCTTGTTCTAAGGCCTCTTCCTTTTCGGATCCAGGGGGTCCTCTGCACTTCGTAGGTTATCATAATGGTCATCACTGGGCTAACTGGAGTTGACTCGCTTTCCATAATTAAAGCTTACTTCCTGACTTTCTTCAACATCCAAGTCTTGGCCCACATCTGATTATCTGGGGTACGAGAAAACCACATGTTCTGATGTTTCACAATTTTGTCTCCCCAAAAAAACCAAGAATTGTTTCAGAGGAGACCCCAGTGGGAGCACTGGCACCCTGAGGCAGGCCACGAAAGACGTGGCCATGCCATACCTCTTCATTGACTGTCCGGGTCAGGTTGGCTGCTTAGAGCGGAAACCATTTCTGGGGCCAGCCGTGCGGTTCCTTAGCGTTTTAGGTGTTCAGGGTTTAGTGGAAGGTTTCCTTACCCCAGTTTCTCACTTCCCGAGTTCCGGAGCTCGCTGAACCGTCACATGTTGAGTTTGGTTGCCATTCGTGGTAAACCAAAAGTCTCGGTTGCCTCTTTTTTTCGCCAATGTGAGGGTTTGTCTTTTCTTTTTCTTTCTTTTTTTTTGGGGGGGGCAGACCAGAAACCATATTTGTTCTAAAAGACTAGAAATCATGTGTTTTCCTAAAAATGTGTTGCCTAAAAGGGAACACCCAAACAAAGAAACCTTTCCAGGCCCCTCGGCTGCATGGCCCCCTGTTTCCCCTTTTTTTTGGTGGCTGCCCCACTAAAATGGTCCAAGCCCAAAAAGGGTTCCCTTTTTTTCCCAGGGTCACTGAACAACTGAGTTCATGAACTTTGAACGTTTTGGGAAGACTATTGTAGTGGTAAATATAAAAAGTTTGGACTTTTTTGGAGCCATCCACTCAGCCAGTGAGTAAAGTCAGGGATCGGGGGAACTTCGAGTTGCTGAAATGAGTTTCGCTGGTTACTTTTCTCTTGGTGCTGCTGGGGATCTGCCACTATTGGACTGTTTTCATGTTCCCTCTTGGTTTGGAAGTTGGAATCGATTTCACTGGGCATAGTTCCTCATTTTGTTTAGGGGGCGAAAACGAAAATGGTGGGGAATCAACTTGGTATTCCACAGGGGTTGATTTTCCACGCAGAGAGAGAGAGAGAGAGAGTCCGCACGTGTCCCGAAGATTCTCGGCTCAAACCAGGCCAAGCAAAGCAAGAACTTGGCGAACAACTCACCCACAGGCCTTCGGGAAAGAAGCCAGCGGAATTCAAAGCTTTCTTAGCCAAGCGGACTTTAGAACTTAGCCGACTTGTGGAATTCGAAGCTCTCTCAACCAACCAGTGGAATTCAAAACTTAGCCAAAGACCCTAGATCATCTAGATCTATTTCTTCAAAGCGCGTGGAAAGTCTTTTGCACGCACAGGGCGACAGCTTTCCACAGCTCCAGCATCGACCAAAAGGCGAGCGCGTGCCGCATGGTGCCGCTTGAGGCAGAACCGCGGGCTTATGGAACTGTGTCTTCGCTCTCTTTAGGCGAAGGTGGCGCTTGCTACTGGATATTCTGGAAACTGGATGGCTTCTCTTTGAAAATTTATTTTTGTTCGCCTCAAAAAGACGCCCCTCCTTGGAGCCGCAGAAAAGAATTAAGCGTCGACCTGCTTGACCTTTGCTTGGCTTTGGTCATGTCTCGAGCTTTTCAGTCGGAAACGAGCTGGGAACAGAGGTCACCGCGGGGAAAGCGCCGAAGGGCTGAGACAAAGCCACCGGAAAGTCAAGGGAGCCTCACTTCCTGGGTCGGACTGTCTTCTTGCAAAGACCAATTTAGGGTTTTATATATTCTCTCACTCCCTGAGTTCCTGGACTTTATTTTTTTGCTGCCATTTGAGTGGTGAACAAGCAGTGCAGACTTGTTTTTGCCCATCAGCTCCGGAAGTGAGGGACCTTTTCTCATTAAAAACCAAAAAAAACTGACAAGCTGGGGCGCATAAAAAGAATTCCAGGCCGCCCGGTATGAGCTCGCGCCGGAGCCGAACCCGCAGCCGCTCCCTCCGGCGGGGCGGGTTGAGCCGGCGGAGCCGCTCCTTCCGCCGGAGCTCCTCGAGGTCCAGTAGCCGCTCGAGCAGCCAAAGCTCCAGCAGCTGGCGGCGCGCCAGGGCCAGGACACGCGAGGGATTTGTCCATTGGGCGGGGGGGGGGGGGGTGAGACAGGGGGCCGGGGGAAAAATACTAGGCCCCCCAGCTTGCCAACTTTTAACGTTTCTTTTTCTGGGGGAGGGTTCCCCTACTACAATAGACTGCAGAAAAAAGCCTTATTCTAACCTCTCCACTGGAGAACCTAGAATAGGGGCTGGGGGCCTGGGGGTTGACCCCAAAGGCACCAAGAAAAGGCATGTCGGAGGTTCACATGGTCCATGGTGCATTACATAAAGCTGAACACTTGCTCAGGGCCTGAGGGGGGAATGAGCAACCCGGATGGTGATGGGTGGAGTTTTGCCGTTGGTCCAACGTTTCTTTTGACGCCAAGCTGGCAAGGCGAGCCTCAAGCACCGTATGGAACACATTCCAACTGGGTGGGAGTCCCGGGATCCACTGAATCCCATGAGCCATGACTAGGGTTCGAGGGTCCAACAATTGACTCTTGCATCGAGATGGCCCACTCGGCAAAAGGGCCATGCGCGACAGACGGCCTCCGCGCCTCCGCGCCTCCGCATCGGAGGAAGCTCCAACGGAGAAAGGAGGAGGAGGAAAGGTTGAAGAAAGAGCGCGAAGAATACCGTTCCTCGACTGCAGGTCTCTTTGCGAAATGAATTTGCTTTCAATTCATCTCTGAGAAAAGGAAGCGCATGTCTTGGGGCGCCCCTCCAAATCTTCGATGCTTTTTTGTGCAGGTTGGCCGGAAAACCCGCCTCCCTGAGAGTACTTCAAGGCAAGGAGAGCAAACCACGGCTTGAGCTAAGGAAAGTTCATGCAAGAGTTTGAATCCTGGCGAGTCAAAGATCTTGAAGAGCGCAACAAGCGGGAGAAGGCCCTGGCCCGCCCTTCCGCCCTTGCGCCGTTCCGACTCCCGGTCACGCTCGAAGTTTGAGAGCCCCCATCTCAAGCTGTTCGGAAGCAATGGCCGCACAGCTCTCGAACAGAGGAAAAATCATTTGGGGAATTAGGATACATTTTAAATACCAGTGGCTCAAAGGGAAGCAAACAATAGAATGTACATTCTATAACTGGGCCTAAGTCTAAGCATGTCATGTTTTCTTCGGATCTGGTGGAACTGAAGACTTTGGTATGGCTGGACCCTCTAGCTACCCTGCAGAATGGGAAGTCACCCCCCCTATTTTCGTGGCAGCATCATTTTTTGGAGGCAAGTTTCAGGGTTTGAGGGTTATATCACATTTTTGCGGCTCGTTCATATGGATAATATCCAGCTGCTGAGTAGTTTCAGGGTAATATCATGCCCACTTTTGAGGATAGTTTGTGGGTTATATCCTTCTGCGGGGCTAGTTTCAGTCTCCAAGTTCTGGGTGTTTGCAGAAGAAGAAAAAAACACGTGGGAATCTCTACAGGATTTGTTTCTTAAGTTAGCTCACAATTTGTGCCGGGGTTGCTTCCGGGCCGTTCGGGCTCGCAGGAATGGTACTCCATGCGTGAAGCCGCCAAGATCGAGGCCAAGCGAAGAGCCGCAGAGCCTCGGGCAATTGAAGTCGACTCCTTCGCCTCAGCGGGGATCGCCGGAATTCCACTAGGTCCCCCAATACTTGACTGCAATTGGGCGGATCTTTAGACTTGAACTTTTTGGCTGAAATCAAGTTGCGTGCTTCCACTAAAGCCCCAAAAAGTTGTTCACTTTTTGCAGGGGGGTCAACAGCAACCAAGAATAGTGCCCTTGTACCGTTCCGTTGTCGGTTGGGAGGGAAACCCCCTACTAAAGTAGACGTCCTGAAACCAGTGGGTACCCTTAATAGGGACGACGCGTGAGGATTCTTTCCCATGGGAAGCAAAGGCATGCCTTTTTTGCTTGGTTGGGTTAGTCTCACTTCCTGAGTTTCGTTTCGGACTTTGAACTTCTTGGAAAGATCATTTTGGTGGTAAATCCAAAGATCAGACTCTGTTCGGCCAATGCACAGAGGAAGTGAGCCTAACTCGACGAACCAAAAACGGATGCCCTTGTTTCCCATCCAACCCACTGGGCAACGGAATTCCTATCCACACAGGAAACCCCCCTTGTGGGTGTGGTTTTCTTTGGAGTTGGTACCTTCTATTTTTCATGGTTGGTTGACACGGGTTTCCAAAAGCACAACCACCCTTTTGGGGTCCAACTCCCTGTGACAACATTGTTGGGTTTGAGAGGGAAGCCAAAATGGAATCAAGCATCGAGAACATGTACAGGGAAAGGCCCCTTTCGGAGCATTTCATGTCCCCTTCCATACACTGCTGGATGGGTGTGAGCCGTGAACATGGCTCATGAATCCTTCTCCGAAGCGCGGCTACTTTGCTGAAGTAGCAGTGCCCCTGGCTGATGCCAAGAAGGTATTTCAAACTAGGGATGCGGACCCCAAAATGGTGATTTCCTCGTGGCGTCCATTTGAACCAACTCCAAAGAAAAAGCACGTCTACAAGTACTGTATTGAGTGCAGCATGGTGTTCAAGCACATTGGGGTCGAAATCATGGCAATTCTGCGTCCTGCTAAGGAAAAGGAGGAGGAGATGGAGAGAAAGATGCTGTGACGGCATTGAGAAACGTCTTTGCTTCGCGTCAGCTTTTGCCGGAAGCATGCGTAGTCTGTTTTTGTGCTTATGAACGTAAGGAAGGCCAAGAAGAAGGCAAGGGAGAAGGAGGACGCGAAAAAGAAGAAGGAAGAGAAGTGGCTTGCCTGGTTTCCGGAAATGGTGTGAGTCGTGAGATGTGTGAGCGTCGATGAGCGATGGAAAAAAGTGTTCATTCGCCAGGCAGGCAAAGAAGGACAAGAAGGAGCAAGAAGAGCTGGAAAGGCGCCAATGTGCAAGTCGAGGGTTTTTTTAGCCCGGGTTTTCCACCTTGGTTCAACCCAGGTGGCCTCCAACAATCGCCCAAAGCGATGGGTTTAGGTGGAGATTAGCGAGCGGTTCTTGGTGACCAGCCTCCAACAAGGGAGTCCTTCTACGAGAAACCATGCAATGAGCGGTCGGCATATCCAATGTGGACGAGAGCAACATGTCACAAAACACCTTGGGACACAACGCGTGTCCCGTGTCTATTATGAATAGTTTTCTTGTGACTGCGGCTCACGTGTTGCTTTTCAGAAAAGATTCAGTACAGAAGTATTGGCATTTCTAGCCAGGCGAAAGGTCATACAACAGCATCGCGCTTTCAAGCGCCGTGTGAAGTCTCTTAGGAACACCTAGCACAGCTTAATCGGAAATGATCCCAGCCCCTCATGATTTGCGGTGGCCTTGTTACACTCCGCGTAATTTTAAGGCTTACGACGGCGGTGATCCAGCACCAAGAACACCTGGCTACAAAATGGAGGGTTCTCGAGCCCCCAACACGGGGCTTCAAGTTGACCGTGTTGCTGTTGACCTGTACACAGCTCCAAAAAAGATACCCTCACAAGAGACATGCCCACATGAAGACTGTCAGGGTGTGAAGGACTCACACAGCCAAGCTGAAAACAACTTGAAAATTGGGATTAGCGTGGCGGTGTTTGAGGACAGGGCTTTCATTAGACGAACATGTGAATTTCAAATATGGCCATGGTTCAAACCCAACGATACCATGTTGGGATAGGCTTTTTGGTGTGGATTGGGATGTTCACTGGAGGTACGGGTTTTGACGTTTTGACCCATGGCCATGTTATCAAGTTGGCCTCCCGGGTGGCTTTAGCTTTCATTTAGGCGCGCCAAGATTGCTGAAGCCGCTGCTGCACGGCGAGAACGAGGCGGCAAGGGCATGTGGATTGGATCGGGGGGGTTGAGCTTGCTAAACTAGGTCCCCCAGTGCCCTGTCTCACCACTTTTTTGGTTGGGAGGGTTCCCCTACTAAAATAGACTACAGACAAAAAAAATCGGGTACCCTTCTTCTAACCTCTCCAGAGGACCTAGTAGATGGAAAGGCCTAAGCACCAAGCCAACCACCAAGTGACCTTATATTTTTCTGAAACGGATATGTGTCTGTTTTCACTTGTTGGCCTTTAAGGGGCATCTGCCACCACTGGAAATAGCTTATTTTTTATCCAGGGGGCGAAGAAGCAACTGGAAGTAGCTGAGCGGTAAGATCGACCCTTTTTGAAAGTCGATCATCTGAGAGACGGAGCACCAAATACAGTTGTCCACAACAGGGATGGCTTTCAAGCCCCGAATTCCTGTTGTCAGTTTTGGACACCTGCAGAGCAAATCCCTGGTGAAAACCTCAGGCGCTGTCCCGCTTTGTGGTGGAATCGCCCACCTATTACTCACTTGCGCAAAGCGAATCGACCTGTCACCTTTGGTTTTCCCTTACCTGGGTCCACGTTTGGGGAAGGCCGCTGGGTCCTTTAGGCAGAGATTGTTCCCATCCAGAATCCGGGGGGGGGGACATGAACCCTCGATTTGACGGTAGTCGCCCTCGTAGACCGCCCTACGCGAGCCTTCGGACCTCAAGACGCGGGGTGTGCGAGCTCGCCGGGTAAGGGAAGCCTCGTGCGGGATCGATTGAAGAGGTCGGTTGGCCCAAAAGTGTGCGTCAGAGATGGGCAGTTGCCATGTTTGACCCCTCCAGGAGTCCCTGAATTCTTGGACAACAACACGGCTTTCGGAACACCGCTACCTCGATCCGACGACACTGCACTAGGTCCCCCAGCTAGGTGCCCTGTCTCACCGTTTCTTCTTTGGTTGGGAGACCCTAATTCTAACCTCTCAAATCTGGAGGACCTAAGCCACCTCGATCCAAGGACACGGCAGGCGCGTGTGACTCGAAAAGTCGGCTCAGGTTCCGGCAGGCCGGATGCAGAAGCAGAGTTGGCCAAGCTGATCAAGGAGGCCGGCCGCTGGCGGCCAATGAGGGCTTTCACCATGGCTGCGATTGGGCAACGGATCTTTAGACTTGAAGTTTTTGGTTGAAATCTATTGGGTGGTTCCACTAAACCGACAAAAAGTGGTTCAGTTTTTGCAGAGGGGTCAAGAGCAACCAAGTCACTACCCTGCAACCACCACGAACCAGGGGGGGGGGTGTACACTCAGCAACCACTATGCAACCACTACTAGGTCCCCCAGTAGTGCCCTTTCTCACCCCTGTTTTTGTTGGGAGGGTTCCCCTCTAAAATAGACTACAGAAAAAAAGGCTACTCGTACCCTTATTCTGACCTCTCTACTGGAGGTCTATGAATACACAGGTAACGCTTAAAGCATCTTTTGATACAGGAGAATCCGACAAAATGGTTGGCAGTCTATTGTTAGCTTTGGAAGGACAAGGGGGAACCGAATTCCTCATAAACAACCATCAGGGTGAACCACTCCCCCCCCCCCGCGCCCTTTCCGCTTGGGGCAATACATTTTATTTGTGGGAGATACGCAACTCTCCTAAATTGGCTGTTGAACCCTTGGTTGGGTGTCTTGCGTTGCACCCCAAAATGCAAACGGCGTCCCAAGACTTCGCCATGTTCCCAAAACAGATTTGCCCATCTACATGGAACTCAAGGCGATCGGACAAATGCTCCAGGGAACCTTTAATGGCCCAGGGATCTGTGAGTTAGCTGGACACAGCTCGTGGACTGCTTGTTTTCGTTGCCGGACGCAAACTCATATGGCAAGGCACCCCCCCCCCCCCTATTTTTGCATTTGTCGGGGGCTCCCAATCCCTATTCTAGTGAGCATGAATCCTAACTAGGACCTTACCTTGATGTGTAAGGTGAGGTTGAAACCCTTGATATAAGCGGACAAATCCAAGTTCCCCCCCAATGGCATGGAGCTCGCGCTGACTTTTTTCTTGCGTTGGAGTCAGAGTCGTAGGGAGAGATTCCCTCCAATGCTAGGGCTTCCTCCCCTCTTCTCTGGGGTCTTGTGTTTGGCATCGTCCCCCAGCTAGGTGCCCTTTCTCACCCTTTCTTTTTTGGTTGGGAGGGTTCCCCTACTAGAATAGACTACAGAAGAAGAACAAAAATCAGGTACCCATATTCTAACCTCTCAAATCTGGAGGACGCAGGCGTAGATTTTTGGATCATGACTTGAGGCACCTGCTCAAAACTGATTCGGGTACGTGAAGGTTAGGGACAGTTTTTGGGAGAATTCGGATTGCGGAAATCCGTCCTTCTAGTTCTTTGCATGGGTTTGGGTAGACCATGTTAATACCGCTTGGCTTTGACTTAGTGACTCACTGAGTGACTCTGAGGCTCGGCTTTGAGCGTTTTGGGGGTGTTGATTTTGAGCTAGGGCTTGAACACCTATGATTGCTGGCCAGATTGTGAAGGGGAATGGGACTTGGAGCAATAGCTCATGGCTATAGTTGAAAATCGGGCTGGGGTATTTAAATGGGCTCGCTTAGAATCCAGAAATCGGGGCTCCCCAAAGCTGAAAATATCCTTGCCATGTATTCGAAGGTAACAAGTTGGCAGTTGGAGCTGTCAGAGTTTGCCTCCACTCACCCCCCCGCTCAAAAAAGAGTGCTCCATCTCATTTTTGTTTAAAGTCACCCCCCAGCCATCCGGTTCCTTAGCTTTTCTAGGTTGTTTTCAGTTGGTTCCGTGGTATTTTCCCTATTTCACCCCCTAGTCGTCACCCACGTCTTAGACGCCGGGGATCAGATCCAGATCGGGCAGCCCAGCTTCGAAGGTGGTTGAAGCATGGTTCTCTTAGGTGTCCTTTTTGGTTCGTTTGTTTAAAAATGGATGGCACTGGTTTAGATGGGTTTCATTTCATTTACCAGGGCCATTTATTTGTCCAAAAAGCCACCTATGATGGTTCTGGGCGTACGGCCAGTTGAAGACCGGGTTTTGAGTGCGACTCAGGCGCTTTCGTTGGTTTCCTCGGTTCGCGTTGGCGCGTGAGGCGAAGCAGGCAGAGCCGAAGCAGGCCGAGCCGCAGGCTGCGGTGTGGCGGGCGGGCGTGTGGACCAAAGAACTTGATTGCTCTAGGTCCCCAAGTGCCCTTTCTCACCGTTTCTTTTTTGGTGAGGGTTCCCGAGGACCTTGGACAATGTGTTTCTTCTTTTGACTTGTTCGCTTGAAATATCAAGGGAGTGTCCATGAATTCCACCCGCAAAAAGTTGAATCAGCTTTTTGCAGAGGGTCTCGCCGGCAACCAAGTTGATCTTCTGGTAGATAAGTCTACTTCCCAACCAACCAGCAAAAGGCTGAAACAGTTTGACATGGAGCCCAACAACTCTCCTTTGTAGAGGGTCCACGCTGTTGGGTGACGCCCTCCCCGAGTATTTGCTCAAGTTGCTTAAGGAAATCCCGAGGAAAGCCGCCGAAGACGTGGAGATTTTGTGGGGGGGGGTGCCCAATGTTGAGGTCGGAGCAAATGGGTGTGTATTTGTTGTGGATGAGAGTAGCAAGTTGGTTTTGCAACACTCAATCTTGACCGTTTGGCAAAGGGGGAGAAACTGCTCACCAAACTCCACAAACGGCTGTGTCAGTTGGCACAGATAGCCTTGACCATGAGAGCAACTCAATTCTTCCAGTAGTGCATTGTGAGGGCTCCAAATTCCCCTCTGGCAGCAACACGGAGCGTCCACTCGCGCCCATTTGTCCTGTGTCTTTCAAGGGCAAAAGGAGCGGCGATATGTCGAGGTACCTGTGAAGGATCCAGGCATGCTGGAGAACGGCATCATCGTACTGGATGAAGATGAGTGAGATCGCGCATCGGCAGGGCGTCTGTCATCCGGCCTGCGAGGCTTGGAACGGAGAGGGTCAGCCAGAAATCGAAGGCCTGTCGTTGTGGGTCACTGGTGTCCTTTAATTTAAGACTTATGGGCGCTCTTTAGGTGCGGCTTTCTTTTTCTGCCAAGCTGCTCTTTTTATGCGGACAAAGGGCCCTGCTGGATAGGTTTCACAAGGCGCGACAGAGTCTCGGTGAGAAAAGGTGCGAGGCTGTGCGGTCAATCTTGGGCTCGGAACATGGACCCATGGAATTCAGCGGCCGAACTAATGTCCAACTCAGTTGTTCAGTGGCTCTCTTTTTCCTTTTTTGTTGGCGGCTGCTCCACTAAAATGGTCTTCCCAAAAAAGGGTCCCCTTTTTTTTCCAGGGTCACTGAACAACTGAGACCCTGGTTGATTTATTGGGTGCTGTCTTACTTTGTAGGGAATCCAGGTCTCGTAGTCAGGAATTGTCCCAACCCAGGTAACTAACCGTCGTTCATAGAGCTGATTGCCCCTGCAAGAGCGAATGCGTCCATGGGGTGTCCTTTTGCAAGGAGCGACTATTTTGGCAACCAATCAGGTCGTTTCACACGAAGAGCGACAGAAGGCAACCTTTCGTAGCCCCTGTCTAACCCTCGCTTCCCCCCTTTCCCCCCCCTGCGATCTGTTCCCCCTGAGATCCTTCCCCCCCCCTCCCCCTCGAGACTGAGACGGCTGTGGGTCAAAACCAATGGTATCCCATTTTGGGGTAGGTGCACCACCCATTTTAGTCGGCATTTTCGTGGTTGGATTCGCACATGGCCAGATCCCCCCCCCCCCCAGATCTGTTCCCCTGTGATCCTTTTCCCCCCCTCCCCCCTGAGACTGAGATCTGTGAACCCCTGAAACCCTTCCCCCCCGCCCAGACTGACATCTGGACCCCTGAAATTCCATTTATTATAGTAACCCATTTTCCCAAGTGGAAGACTAGATCAATGGAATCGGGAAGAGGACCCCCGGTCCCCACCACTGCTAAGGAATCGGGGGGGGTGGTTAGATTGTGGTTTAGGTGGAGCTCTACACCCACAACGAGGTCATGACAAAGATCACTCAGCAGCTCACTAAGGCGCCGTTCCCGCTCCCAAGCCGTCGGGAGGAATATTGTTTGGGCGGCCCAACTTGAGACCCGGCGCGACTCCTCCCTAAACATGGTGATAGACTGGTAGGGTAAGAGACAAAATGTCAAGCTGAGTCTTTATATGTATATATGTTATATTATATTATATTATATTATATTATATTATATTGTAGTATATTATATATATATGTCATTGTTTTTCCCGGTGCACTGAGTTTTGTGAACCAAGATCACGTCATGTTTGTTCAACCAGTTGTGCGTTAAGCATTGTTGAGGTCGCTAAAGAATAGATTACCAAAAGCACAAGAAATGTCGGTGTGTATGTGTGTGTGTGTGTGTGTGTGTTTGAGAGTAAAGGGAAGCCACGATTTGTTGGGACCCTGGTGGCTGTAAAGGTTTTGTTGTTTTTCTTGCAGGGCCCATGCAAAAGAGCGGGTCTCCGTTGTTATTGAGACAAATTCGTATGTCCTCAGAAATGAATTGGAGCTCTAGAATAGGAAAAGCCTTTTGAAACGCGTTGCTGCCTCAATCACCAAGAGAAGCGGGTCGGTCGTTGGTTGGTGAGGTGTCCCGTTCCTTCATTTGAACTACCTCTTCAAAAGACTGATGTTGCCATATGTTGCCGTGGGTCAAAAGCCAAATCGTACCCCCAGTGAACATCCGATTCAATCCCCGCTAAAATAGGAAGCCTAAAACGGCTGGTGAATTCACCAACCAAAATGGGATCAACCACAACGGTTTTCACCACCACTGCCACATGTTGCCGAAGCGGAATTGTTCCAGCGGAAGGGAGGGTGGCAGGCGGGACCCGCTCCTCGTGGCAATGGGTGTGCTGTCCTTGTTGGAAGTGGCGCGAGTGGAGTCTGCTGTTCAACCTTCCAACTCCGGACTTTGAACCCATGAGCCTGGAGGAGTTGTTTGCCCATGGAATCTATGGGAAGATACACAGAAGGCCCCAGGCTCCAAGGTCTTAAGCTGGCTCACGCTGCGAGTGCCCATGACATTGGATCATGGTCTTAGAAGATGAATGTTGTGTGCTTTCAGGCGGAAAGTGGAAAGGTTGGTAAGTCCGAGTGAGTTTATCTAAACCAACTACCGGAGAAATTCTACAGGAAACCAACCTGATTTTGGTGGGTCTTTGGCTCACTTCCTGTAGAACTTCCTGTAGCTGGTTTCTATGAGCTTGGGCAAGTGGAACACAGCATGTCCGGTTTGCCTAAGCAGGGACGAACTCCAGAAAAGGATACACCCGCCTCTCCTTTCTGCATCTTCCTTGTGTTTGTGTTTGTTTTAAAGACCTAAACTTGATGGTTCTCAGCAGGGAATGAGGACGGCTCGTGGTTTCCTTTGAGGGGACTGGGTTCATTCCGAACACCCGGATGAAAGTTCGCACCAGAAAGTGAGAACCTCCTCGTGTTTTGGTTGATTCACGAACTCCGCAAGATAGGTGGCTTGTTGAGGCTTCGTCCATCTGGCGATCCCCAGATACTGGCCATAGATTTTAGCATCAAAGTCACCCCCATTCTGGTGGCACCTTAAAGGGAAACAACCCGCCGAGATCGGACTTTCACAATCCCTAGTTAAACTGTCAAGCTAATGAGCCCTGCGATAGGTCAAGACCAGCAAGTATTTGATTAGCCGCCACCAGAAGAAAAAGTACCCTGCACCCATTGCACAGGGACTAAAATTAAAAGAACCATGGAGCCACCAAGTCGGCGTTCTGTCTTTTTCCCGATTCTTAATTTTGAGCCACACCCAAATGGGGACGAGTCTTGCCACCTCAAGAGTAGTTGGACATACTGTGGATGGACGAAATCCTGCACCACCCACATACTCAAGAAACCCCAGAACAATGATTCTCCTGTAAATATCAACAAAAATGGTTTCAACCATTGTTTCAACTTGGCACGAAATGGATTTCTTGAATCCACAGTACATCCCCGCCGAATTCGCAAGTCCAGGCCTTGGACTTGCGCCTGGTGGCCGTCCATCTCGTGGCCTCTCGGCTCAAACCCGCACCTTTGCGCTTTGCCGGGATTCTCCACTTGGCATCCTCAAAATGGTCGGGTGGTTTTTCGGGTGAACCAATAATGATGTGAACATAGGAATGTAGGGGGGGGTATGTGTCAAGGCGAAGCCATGGTTATATCTAATGTGAAATAGGTCCCCCCAAAAAGAAAAACACAAAAAAGAAAAAGGGAAACAACGGCTTCGGTGTTCTGTTTGGATAGCGGTGAAACAAGCTAGACATGGTATCCTCAAAAACACACACCCACTATGAAAAGAATTCGAGAAACGTAAATTTGGCGTAGCGGGATGTTTGGGCCAACTGGGGTGAACGTCGGAACGTCGCCACATGTTTGGCGGAAAAGCGGTCAGAGTGCCCCGGTTTCAACCATGGCTCCATCCATCAAGGGCCTTAACAAGCTCCTTTTGGAAGGCCTTCAAAAGGGACCAAGGGGTGGTTGCTTCAACACATTTCGCCGTACCAACACATTTCGCCGTACCCTTGTGTTTGCCCAGGGATGTCGCTTTATTGGACTCAGTATGTTTGTCATGGGGAGCAATGCAGCGACCTCCAAATGAGTTGAACCTAGGAATAGAATCTTCATGATCGATAACCCTCTCTTTGAGGTTGCGATGCGATTTGCCCAGACTGAAGTCTGCCGCAAAAGCACAAGAGGCTGCGTGTTTTGAGGGCACTCTTTTTGCCTTGCTTTGGGGGAAGGGGTTCTCTCTATAGTCTAAGAACCCCCCTCAGCTCTTGGACTTTGCTTCCTGCTCTGGGAAGATCATTTCAATCTTCGAACTTCCGTTTGGACTTTGTGTTTCCAATCCACTCAAGCAGGGAGTTAGAAACAACCAGCAAACATGCTTCCCCATGTGAGTGTGGGTCAATATTAAAACACCAGGAGTGGGACCGCAGATTTTAGTCCATGTTTCCATTTACCGATCGGGCACCCCATTTTGGGTACCTAATTATTTTTGATAACGCCATTTGAACATGCTCCGAATCAGTCGGGAGCCCACGGGGCGATTTGACAACCACAGCCATGTGTCCTTCCCCGTCTGAGCATTGCGTTTTTTCGCCTCTGAGGACTCCACGCTCTGCGTGGATGCCTATCGATATCTGTCTGCCGTGTTCTTGCACGAGCCCGAGTCACAAGTGGCAGTGCGCAGAGTTTCTAGGTCCAGTAGTGCCCTTTCTCACCAACTTTTTTGGGGGAGGGTTCCCCTACTACAATAGACTACAGGAAAAAGTTGGCACCCTTAGTCATCATGTCGTGCTGCTTCAAGACCCCTGTACTTTGGGTTAAGAGGTATCCTCATCCACCTTGTAGTAAGAATCCTGAATAACCAATGGAATGATTCCTATCAAGGACCCATGACCACAGGCCATACAAGGAGCTTTGAACATGGCTCACGTCGTCATTTTCCCTAGACGAAGCTACAAGGGGGTGGATGAAACTTGTCTTTCTCTAGACCCCCTGTTCAGCACCCTGTTTTGCAGGGTTGGGAATAGTGGTTTGAACATGTTTTCGGGAAGGGCCCTTGCCTTCTTCTACAGGACCAGCTTGGGGCTAGGGATGGTTATGGAGGCTAGGAAAACGACAAGTGTTGTCCTTTGAGAAAGTACCCATAGCGACCCATGCTTACCTGAAACCGGACTGGGGCATAAGAAGACCCGGCTCCATCTTCAGTCAGGGGAGCTTGTTTGGTTATCCCGGCAGGTTTTGTTTGGAAAGATTCGGATCCGTAAGCTCAGAATTGGAAGTTTTTCCTGGGTGCTCAACCAACGTCAGGTAAGTGGCTTATGCTTATAACTGAGGTAACTGGGCTTAATCCATGGGTTGTTGGCCGCTTTTGTTCGCTAGAGCTGGTTCTTGGCTTAGTTGTTCTTCTTGTTTTCCTTCGTGCTGTTGTTGGTTGTTGGTTGTTGGGTGGTTGTTGGGTGGTTGTTGGGTGGTTGTTGGGTGGTTGTTGGGTGGTTGTTGGTTGTTGGTTGCTAGTTGTTGGTTGCTGGTTTGTTGTAGTGACTGTAGTCTAGGTACCCCAGTATTGCCCTTTCTCACCCCTTTTTGGTTGGGAGGGACACCCCCTACTAAAATAGACAAGACCGGAAAAAAGTCGGGTACCAACTTCTTCTAACCTCTCTACTGGAAAACCTCGGTCGTGGTGTTTCTGGTTCGGGTTCTTCGGCTGGAAAACGGAAAACGGGCCTTTCAGGTCCATGTCTGCCATGATGCAGTTGGAGTTGCCTCACATCAATGTGCTGTCCAAGATCGACCTGGTCATGGCGGGGCGGTGGCCGATTCGTGTACGCTCGCAAGCATTTGGTCACCATCTGAGTTACACTTTGGCAGGGGTCTCCTAAAGGATGTGATGTCCATGCTAAACAACATCTACATGTTCTGTGTACCCCAGATGTGGGCCAAGAAAATGATTGTTAGAAAGTATTGAAATCCGTTGGAACAATGACCAAGGGTGGGGCGTAGGCCTCGCTTTGTATCGGAAAGATCACAGTTTGAAACCCGACCAAGATGTATTTTTGAGCTGTTAGGGGGTACACCTGTTGGGGCACGTGATGACAGTCCTTCAGATGGTTCCCCAAAACCCTTAAAAATTGAGATATTGCTGAAGAGGAGCTTCAGGGCAGTGCCAAGTTTTTGTACGGCCGGCAGTGTTCTCCTTTGCGCCAGGATCACACCGATGACTTATCCTTTGGCTTGGACTACTACGCAGGCGCCGGGGATCGGAGTTGGGCATCGGCTTGCTCTTCGCTGCCCGGCGGTTTGGAGCTTGGCGCTGGGTTCCCTGTTTGAGGGGGGCCAAATCCGGAGAAAAAAAAAGAAAACGCACTGAGTCCCGATTCGGACTTGGGTCGCTCTTTAAGTTTGGACCATGGTGTAAGCAACAGTTTGGAGGTGTTCGGGGCCATCCACTCAAGTGACAAACATATCATTGGCCAAAATGAAATTAGAGTCCTACTGTGGACTAAACTCAGATACCCGGGTTTCTGATTCGATCCCCAACGTAAATACCAACGGTCTGGTCTCCACCATGATTTCACTCCGTGTGGCGGATTTCGCGTCACCATCCATGGTGAGCACCGCCCAAAAGGCAACGACGGTCCTGGTGGCACTCGAGCGGACGGCACTCGTTGGATCGAGCTCACCGATTCGGGGGTCTTTCACGAGCGAAAGCCATGATGATCCTGTTCTTGGAGATCGGGAACCCATAGATATTCTGATTTCAGGTTTTGGAGTTATGATAAAGTGTGCAGATTTGATGCAAGTTGAGTTGGGCCCTCCAGCCACCTTTTCATCCACGCGTGGGTGTGTGTTGGCTTCTTTCGGAGCTGGTACCCACGCTTTGTTGGTTATAAAGGGAGAAACAAAAAAGCGGAACACCTAAATCCATGTTGGCCCAAGAAAAAGACACACCCATTTGGATTCATGTTGCTTCCTTTCATGGTCTTTGTCTCCATCCAAGGGGCCCAAAAATGGGTTCAAACCAGGCCACCAGTCCAGTCCAAAGCGCCAGCTGCAGGCGTGTCCGACCTGTCGCAGCTGATGTGGACGCTCCAGGCTACAAGGCGACTTGACTTTCGGAACGCGCCGACACGAGTTCTTCGTGCCTCAACGATACCTGGATCACCCAGTGGTTGTTCTTTTTCCCCAAGGGGTCTCAGCCCAGATAGGCTCCGGGGTGGTCCGGGGCAGCCCACAGACCAGGGTTCTAGCAGGGTTCCACGAGGGTTCCCCAAGCGGATCTGCGAGGGCTGCGGGGTGGTGAGAACACTAAAAAGAGCATGGCATGCTGTTGGGGATATCCCCTGAGCTTATTATTTTCCGACAGCCTGTGAGTGCTGGAGTTTGTTGTTACTTTTGGATCAATCCGCAAAAAACATGAAAACAAGATCCTACATAGCCAAGCTGCTGCTTTTTTAAGTCACTGTTGCTGGTTTTGGGGGCAAAGTGCATGGAAAACAAACAGCTGGCGATCGATCCAGGATGTTGGTTTCCTGGCTTCCCTTTGCACCATCCACCCACAAAGCCGTGCGAAAAATTGGTCTCCCCATGTCTCGAGAGGCATCCGATGAGCCAGAAGTTCAAGGAATTCAACAGGCCCATCGGCGTGGGTTCCGGGATTCGGACTGGGGCACTCCAAGTGGTGGGAAAAGAGTACATGGGCGATGCGTTTTTCGATAAGGATATCTTTGTTTCAACCCAGAAGGATCTGAAGATGCGGTCTTTTGGCAACTGATATTATGGATATTGCAAACCAGAAGAAGGGTTCTGAAGATACAGTGCTTTGAAAAGTCGATGAGTAAGCTTCCTTCTGGTGGGTATTTGTGGTGTTCAAAAAGGAAATATGGGGAGCCCATGTGGATGTTGGGCTTGAGCAAGGGAACACGTCAAGCGTCTTTTTTTGTTTGATGAGCGTTCTATGGGAACCTGCTTTGGTGAGGACCTGATCGATTGCATGGGAGTACTTCTTCTCATTTGTTCCTTTGAGGGGGGGTGCATTCGCGCCACAGGATCCAGCAACAAGATCTTGCTTGCCCCAGATGGTTCTACCGTACTTCCTTTTGGAGGAATAGGTTGGGGACCCGTTTTTGATTGTTTCGACCCGGGTCTTGTTGTGGAAACAGCTCATGGGTTGCCAGCCCGCTTTTGGAGGACCGGGTTTCGGGAGTGTGCACCATCGATTCTTCGCTGCGTGTCACACTCTCAAAGCGCGGCATCGATGCGCAACTTGCATTTGGCTGATCAGGGGTTGAGCAAAGTTGGTTTAACAACCAGACCCTGCAAGCCTGAAAAGAGGGGTCGAAACCCGGCTTTGAAGAGCCATGATTGCCATCTACCCGTATTGTTGGGCTCGTCAAGAGCAATGGCTCCCTTTGTACCCTGCAGAGCCATGGGTGTGCAAGCCCATGTGGCTGTGTGTCAAAACCACTGGTACCATTTTAGGGTAGGTGAATTCACCATCCATGTTCGGCTTCCAATTTTTGTGGTTGGATTGAATCGGATCTTCCCTCGGGGCTAAGCGATTCGGATCCATGTGACTCGCAGGCTCATCGCGGAGCTGATTGAGGACTATGGCCCGCGCCTCATGCGATCCGTCCGGGGACGCGAGCGCCGGGGACTGCGGACTCGGCGGTTCTCGTTGGAGCCGAGCGCAGGCCTCGTGAGCTTCGAGCCCTTGGACATCCAGGACAAGGAGTGCGCCCTGCGCGTGCCCGGCGGCCCAAGGTCGAAACAGATGGAAAGGGCAGGTCTCGCATCGGTTGAACGTTTGGCCTCCGGTTGTTTTTTTGGTCCCCAAGGGAAGCCCAAGGGTTCGAGGATTTTGGGAGAAGTCAACCACCCTTGCTTTGGCTTCGAAAATTGGAGTCAAGCTTCTTTTGGTGTCCCGTCCGCCGAAGAAACTCGGGGGGGGGGGAACCCAATCTGATGTACTTCGGGCCATGCACCATTGGAGCACAAGCATTTGCCCAGACCCACATCTCCCAGCCAACAGCCACACCGGTGAAGGCTCCGTTTCGTTTTTTTGTTGCCCTCTTTTTTTTCTTTTTTTTTTTTTTGGGGGGGGGGGTGGATATTTTTATTATTTATTTATTTTTTTTTGGGGGGGGGTTAGAAGCGACACCAATGGGAAACCAAACCAATTTAGGGAGTTCCCCAAATTTGGGGCATAGCCACGAGGCTTGGTCGCTGCGATACTGCCAACGGACACATCATGAATGCCGAGAAGGTCGAGGCTTGACCGTTGCAGTTGGCTTGTGCATGTGGAAACTTGTGATGTTCAGCGCTGTTTCTGCGAAACTGAGAGAATCCCCTAAGACAAACTTTGGTGTTTGCTTGGATGTTAGGACTTTAACTTTTTGCCTTATACTGGGTTTTCCATTGAACCACTAAAAGTTAAACTTTTAGCAGGGGAGCAGATTTCGCAACCGAGCTACTCAGTAGCCATGGGAATGGCCCATGTTGCAGGGCTGATTTTCTCGGGTGCGGGGCTTGGCACGCCGAAAGCTCCTTCAGGATCCATCAGATCCTGTTGCCGGAGTTCGACTCTTTCAGGCTGGAATATCGGAGAATAGAGTGGAAACCACAGGAATAAGATCCACACAGCTTCTTTGGGATGTCAGGGCTTTAGCTTTTTGCCAACTAATGGGTTTTCCATTAAACCACTAAAAGTTGAACTCTAGCAGGGGAGCAGAAAGCAACCGAGGCTTGATTTCTTCTTGCTTTCCCATCAAAAGGGGAGTTACCACTTTTTTGGGACACGCGCTGAGGCGGGCTTCGCGGATACCGACGAATTTCTGGATGAATACTTGGAAAGATACGAAGAACCTTGGCTGAATTTCCTCTTTCTCCCTCGCAACTAGCAGCTAACTAGCAATGCATGGACGGTTTGACGGACTTGGTTGTTTTTTTTGAATATGTCCGAAGTAGCCTTTGCAGCTTCTTGGAAAATGAACACTTTTTGCAGCCATCGGCAAACAGTTTGTAACTAGTCGCGGGTCAAAGACGAGCCTAGGAACGACTACATCAGAATCCGGAACATGCAGCAAGTGGTGCTGACAGAGAAAAAGCGGCCTGTGCGTTCGCTTTGAAGCAATGGAAAGCCGTCATTTGTTCAACCTGACCTGTTGATTTGAATCTTTTGCGTTTTGACGTGTGGTCCAAGGAGCGGGTTAGGTGGAACAAGGTCCCCATCCTTGCCAACAGTGCATGGGGAAAGCCTTTGAAAGCGTGCTGCGAAGAATCAACGGCACACTTTCAGAATGAAGAACCCCCAAATGGCACCTCCCAAAGCTCCCATTCGCTAATTAATATGTAAACATGTTCCTTGGTTGGTTTTAAACGCATCTCTCACTGCTGGAATAAGGTTCTTTGTCCAGGCGGCTGAGGGAAATGAAATTGATAACAAGAATACTAATGATAGTAATACGGGGAGTATTCCAGGTTGCGTCCATTCATGAGCCCTTGCATACGCCCGAGATGCTTGGCTCAAAGCAAGCCGGGCATCCGCAGGGATCGCTATGTGCCAAAATTCGGGGACCAACAAAATGAGGGCGGGGTCAATGTTGGCTCCCCTTTAACCCGGGAGCAAAGCACGGCTTTCAGCTCGCCACTCAGCTTGGATTTGCCAAGAACCATCCGACTGGTTGAGATACTTATACGCTTGGGTGTTTCTCTCTTTCGGGGACCCCTTGTGGGTTTTAAAGGAAAACCAAGAGGAAACCGTTGCCATTTTTTGGGGGGGGTCTATTTCAAGACATACTTTCTGGAAACCAGCAGGAAACCGTTGCCATGTCCTCACTTCCGGCTTTCGTCACTTTTGGGGACTTTCCATTTGAGTGGTACATCAAAAGTCTAGACTGCGTTTGGGCCATCCACTAAAACCGGAAGTGAGCGGTTCCCCTATTTAAGAAGACATACCCTTTATTGCCCAGTGGTGCCCTTTTTCCCCCTTTTTTGGGTAGGGGTTCCCTCTACCAACAAAAAAAGGGTGCCCTTTTCTCCCATGGAAATTTACTGGGCATCTGAGTACCCTGTTCAGGTCTGAGGGCCAGGCAATCCAATGCCATGGCCAAAGTGGTGTTTCAGAAGATCACCGGGGAGTCGCTCGAGTCGTGGCCTGAGCCTGGATGGGAGGATTCGTTGCCCTAAACTCACTCCCTGGAGTTTTTTGGCCTGAAATGTCACTGTTTGGCGTTTTGGTTGCCTTGCAAGCAAAACAGCCATCTTGCAAGCAAAACAGCCATTAAACCAAGGTAGGTTTACAGTCGGGGAAGGATTTCGGGCTTCCACTTTGCATATGAATGCGAATTCCTTCTACGATACCCAAAAAGGGGGAATTGCAAGTGCCCCGCCCAACTTAGCACGCTGTCTCGTTGGCAATTCGCAAAATGCTGCATCGTGTGGTTTGCAGTCGTGTAGCATTCCAGATGTTGTGTTTGCAGTCGTGCAGCATCTTCACAGGCCCATGTGTCCAGTTACAGCAGATACGTGGCGCACAATTGGCCGACTAAGGCATACGCTGCACAGCGCGGACGATGCAGTGAGTTCCTTCAAGGAAGCGATTGCTGGTAAGGCCGGCTGTGAGTGACAAGGGGCTTGGCTGAAGGGTCTGGTGTTCAAATGGGCGCCAAGCATCCGTGCGGGAAAACGACAGGAATCTGATCCCGCTGGATGGTGTCCTGGGTCAGATTTTGTGTTGTACCTGCCAGACAGAACTTTGGTGCATGTTGCTTGAATGTTAGGACTTTAATTGTTTGTCCACATTAAACCACTCAAAGTTGAACTTTTAGCAGGGGAGCAGAAAGCAACCGAGTAAAGTTTTCCTTGCGGAGGTGCAGGTTCCGGCGATGTGCCAAAGACTGACGCTCCAGAACGCCGATGAGTCTGCGAGCGCCATCCTCGAAACTTGGTGGCTCCTAGCCATCCGGTTCCTTAGCTTTTTGGCCTTTTAATATCTATTCTAATTCCATCTGACCCACTAAAAGTTAGCAGGGCTTCTTAAAAGATATATGTTGCCCATTTGAATCATGACTTTTCCCACCAAAATAAAGGGTTACCACCATTTACAAGGCAATGTTCAGGTGTATAATGTAAGGATCCCTGAGTTCGTCACTTTTCGCGGGGGATCCGAAAACGGGCAGCCCAGGAAAAGAGCAAGCCCTTCATGGCTGCCCGAGTGGCAAAGCCTTTTCAGAACCTGAGCATCCGAGAGTTCAGTGTGGCTTGGTATGGATGAGAACTCATCCGACTCCTTAGCCCAGCTGCCCAGTGCCCGGTTTTCCTTTTTTGGGGCAAGGTTCCCCTTTTAAGCCAACCAAGAAAGGAATGCTTTTTTTTTGCCCATGGTTGCTGGGCATCTGAGCTAGGCTTTGAGATAAAATTTGTCTCCTTGGTTTAGGAATCCAGTTCCTTTGGCTTTTCGGCGGTTTTTTTTTGGTTGGTTAAGTGGTTGGGCTGTTGGTGGTTGGTTGGTTGTTGGTTTTTTTTTGGTGGTTGGGTTGTTGTTGGGTTGGTTGGGCTGTTCGTGGTTCAGTGGTTTTTCGTGTCAAATCATTTATCATGCCAAAAGCTAGAGACTTTTTGCCGCGTATCCGGGCATATCCGGGCTTGGATTGTCCGTCCCTGTGTTTGCTCAATGTTTCGCGTGCCTCGCCCCATGGTTCACAGTGCCAATGTTGAAAGGATATGCGTAGGGGCTAAATGTTTGCCAACATTCTCCTATGATCGTGACTTAACTTGGGTTTGAAGTACCCCGCAACCACGGCAACCAATGATGACATTGTGTCGGATTTGAGCTGATGTGGTTGTTTAATGTGTCGCAGAATCGGATCTGTTTGCTTCCGAGCAATTATGTTGTTACAGCAGGACCAGTCGAACGGACAAGGCGTGATTGTCAGAGATAAAGTCTGAACACATGGAAAATAGAGTTCGAGTCCAACCTCCGTCTTTGTTGTTCGTGCTTTGGTTGGGTCTGCTTTGTTTCGCGTGGACAACCTCGGCAAGCACCTTGCTTGGGAGCTGTTCGGCTATTTGTGTTATTTTTGATTCTTTGTCGCACCTAGCGGCTTTTGACTGGCACTCTGGGTGCCAGCCCAGGGATGAAAAGTCGCAATAGATTTGCAGAAGGCCAAGGTGGGTTTTTGTTTTTCTCGAAATGGCGAGTTGATGTTTAACATTGGCAATCGCCTCCAAATAGGCTACACAGAGCGCCCACCGCCCACCCAAGGGCCACGGCCCAATGAGGAAGTGGATCCCAACAATGGTTGATGGTCTTCTGGTTATATGGAAGAAAACAACCAAACGGTGTCTTCAAAAGTCAGCCGCACAGCGCCAGAGAGAATGAGGCCATCTCATCTCTTGCGTCACCACCTCATCGTCTACAGCGGTGCTTCACCATCGTGGTGAAGCTACTTGAGGGAGGCAAGCTGCTTGCAGGCCGGAGATGAATTCAAAAAAGACCCCTGAAAAAGGTCTTCATCAAGACTATTTCGGGCAGGAAGTTAGCTGGA